GATCAAATGCAAGGAGCAAGCAATTATGCAACAGTGCGCTGTTACTGTCTTCGGGCTGATATTTCCGAATTCAAACCCAACCTACCTGACAGTGTACCCTAACCATTACCATCAACATCCAGCGTGGTGCAGAGGTAGTTCCCCTGCCTCTAAGGTTGTATTTCCGGATTCAAGTCCTATCTGTCGCAGTGGGTTATCAAAAAATGCCCGAACGGGTTGCTCCCTCAGTATCAGAGTATTGAGGTGCGAGAACGTTGCCCTACCTCCAGTCTATACCGACACATTCCAATATTCTAATTTGGGATACAAATACGACAGATGAACTGAACTGTTGAGATGACGAGTCTATTTGCTGCAAATCCCACAATGCCCTCATAAGGTGCCAAACAAACAAACAAACAGTCAAAGATTAACTTAGTATTTAGTGAATACGACGCAGGGAAGTATGAATGGAAATCACTTGGCAGGTTGGAAATGTAGTGGAGACTTAACAAATCCTACAATGCGCTACATCGTTTGGTTCCGTGATTCTGAAAAAGAGTCCAGCAGTCAACGAAAAGAAAATGTCATTGATGTGCGGTACTTAATCATTTACAGATATTAATTGACTTCTCAATTCAACATTTTTAGACATCTCCTTCATACTCTTCTGCCCATGAAATTTGACTCAACTGTTAGATGCTTGCCCTTGCTTCAGAGTTCAAGTTCTGCACCGGGACTTGAGGATATGATTTAAGACCATGCCCCAGAGAACCGTCGAAGACAAGTTTTGTTAGAGAATGTTCTTTCGAATTACAAATTGGTCTGAATCGCTATCTGCCTACCGGGTGGATGTAAAGAAAAATCCCATTCACTATTTGAAGATGAGCAGGGAGTGTTTTTTTTTCTCCCCGGTGACCAGGTCAACATGCGGCCTTACGCCAAATCGGATGAACCGGCCATTCGTCTTATTTGCTGTTTCCGGGATATTGCTGCGCACAAATTGGGCATTAGAATTGTCCTCATAACAAGTCATTGCGCTTAACCGAGTAATTAATTGACTATAAAAACTGTCCGAGCCATACCAAGAATCAGTACAAGATATTTGCATTTTTTTTTATTGAGTTAGCATTTAAGTGGGCCGTATGGAATCTAACAATGGCAGGTTGCAAAGTTGCTGATAAGAATAAAATAGTATCTTTGTTTCCCTCTAGACTCAAAGAATGAGATTGCCCTTGTACCTCAAATACCAGTCAGTACCCTTGTACCAGTCAGTGCCTGGACAAGATGATTTCTGGCTGAATTGTGTGTTTTGTACTGTAACGCAATGTAAACGCTTCAACTAGGAGAGGGCTCTGTGCACGCTCTATAATTACTTTAATGTGACGTTGTAGCCCAAAGCTTTCACATTCCCTGAGGGAATAAGGAATTCCTTGTCCATCAAGTCTGGGTAGCATCAAAGTTTGTATTGAGGCACGGGATAGTTGCGTATCTATATAAACTATGCTATTTTAAGTCCATTTCGGATCAGAAACATGTTCAATATGCACAACTTCTTTATCAATACATCATATATTACATCTCATATTAACAATGTACTCCAAAACTGTACTAGCGTGAACATATGCATCATGCATAAGGACATGTCAGGCATTAGCTGTGCCAAATGTAATGTTTCGGGTCATTGCGAACATTAACTTTGTCAATCTCTCTACCGATGCTGCCTGACCAACTGTGTATTTCAGTAATTTCTACTGTGTTTCAGATTTCCAGCAACGACAGTATTTTATTTTCGTGTTATTGTTTCCGATTCGTAGATTTTGTTTTAAAGTTTGCCATCATTTTCCGTCTCAACTTGCAGACGTATTTTTTTGTTTGGGGAAGCGAAAATAAATGGTTCTTCATCAGGTATTTAAAAAAAAATCAATTTAGTTTCAATGGCCAAGTTGTTAAATCCACTTCACTCTAGATTAGAATCTGATGTGTGAAGTCCAAAGAGTATCAAACTACTCGCCGGTATTTGGAATTAGCTCAGCTACTTCGCAGCCCTACGCTTGAATTAGGTCAATGCCTAGTCCAAAACATACTGCTGGCTTCATGTGGGTGCACACTGAAACCTGATCCCATTGATCTGAATAAAAACCAAAAGAACTGCGGATGCTGTAAATCAGAAACAAAAACAAAGTTGCTGGAAAAACTCAGCAGGTCTGGCAGCATCTGTGGAGGAGAAAACAGAGTTAACGTTTCGGGTCCGGTGACCCTTCCTCAGGGACCCGAAACGTCTGTTTTCTCCTCCACAGATGCTGCCAGACCTGCTGAGCTTTTCCAGCAACTTTGTTTTTGTTCCCATTGATCTGAAAGTGATTCTATGATGGCAATAAAAATATATTGCATTGTTCCACATTTTGTTGTTAATTTCTAATACTTAAGTCACATTACTTAAGTTTACCGATGTCTCCAGTAGTCCCATTCACAGGAGTATGACATTCACATGCCATCTGTAGTGTTGCCTGGAAAGCAACTCTCGCCTCCCGTACTGTTGAAAACGACGCATGAAACAGCACAAGCAGTAGTTTGCAGCAACGCCGAGTGTCAGGTATAGAGCATTTTATAGTTTCACACTTCAACAGTAGATCTCGAAGTGTAATACAAAATTTATTCGCTACACTTTACTTCGAAAGGATAAGGGAAGGAAAACAAAGTGCGAAATATTTACTGAACTCCCCATCCACCCCCTCCCCTTTGCAGAAGACATTCCATGATTATAAAATTAGCAAAATAAATTGTGTGAATGCTTCGTGACCTGCTGGTATCGCGACAGAAACATCACAATGCTATGCCGCAATGAATCTCTGCCAAGACTTTGGAGATGCTCTCCAGACATTAGTCCTTTAAATCTGCAGTGATTCAGAAGTTATTCACTCGATGTTCAATTATCTGAATGTGAACTTTCATTGTCAGAGTTCTTTCGGAAATTAGGAACGCGAACTTTTCCTGTGCACTTTCTTATATTAATGCCAGGGCAAGACACTCTTCCGCACTTCTCATTCATTGGCTCTTCTTAATGTTATCGATTGAATAAAGGTATATTGCTTCGTGGTTATATAATTCTGAAAATGCAGTTTAACTCCTGCAAGACTGTGGTTCCAGTGGATGTCAACAACGATGTGCCAATATTAGTCAGAGTCAAAGCCAATCAGCATTCGTTTTAATTATTAGAGGTCCAAATCACAAAACTGAGCAAACTATACTTTGTAAATATACATCTCCTTTATAACTGTCATAACATTGCCATTTGTTATGGTGGCAAGCGCCCCGTACTAGTGAAACTTGAACGAACATGGACAGTTTTCACAGAAACATCCACAAAATCGGGGAATGAGATTTCGCCAAAGTGATGGAAGTACAGGAATCCCATATTATGAAATCGTAATTTTCTTTATTGAGGCATTGTAAATCACACTTCTCCTTTGATAACTATAGCATTACACATTCTCGATCATAATTTACCTTTATTTAACAAAAAAAAGTATTACGTATTAAAACATTATTTGGCTTATTTAACCATGCTTAATTGGCAGCTTTGAAAATAGCTTGTGCCATTTAAATAGTACATTTTGAGTTGCATCTTACTTTTCTGAGGTTACAAAATGGAACCAGTTTTTTTTTCACAACAGTCCTGATGGTGTAAATTACGCACTCAGGAGAAGGAGGTATAACTCGTACAGACACACTAAGAATCTGCATTGCATTAACCGTTCTCAGCTGTGTTAGTGATAAGGATGTTACAATTGGACATTGGAGGGAAGGATTTCATTATTAATTGCTATTCAAGGGCGCATGTGTGGACGCCGGGTGACGGCTTCGTCTGGTGTGATAGCTCCCGAGGTTACCTGGAATGTCAACCAACCTCCTTCAGGCCCAGGTTTGAATTCTGGCCACTGGGTGAAATGATGAGGGAAACGTGATGGTCACAGAGTCATATCCCTACTACAATGCCTTCAATGGTGGAAACAATTAGCGAGTGACGGAGGTTCAAAACCTATCGCTGTTTTCGTCCCGAAACCATTAATGTTTGCACCGCAACACACTTCATATGCGAGCCTCTTAGGCACAGTCCTCTGAAAAGTATAGACAATCACTTCTAGGGTTACTATGTGTGCACTATAATACCGAGAAGATAACTGAAGCTGCAAAATAATTTATGCAAAAACGTCAAGAGGATGATTGACAGTTTAAGGGTATTCACCTCTCACTCAATTAAAATATGTACGTTTTTCACATGATTTATTTTGCAGTAACTACCTCTTCTACCAACTTGTCAGCTTTTTTTAAAAGAGTGCCCGTATTATGCAACAGCTTACTGTTATGCTGTGGTAGTCTTTTCCTCAAGTACATTTCACTGATTTTTTTAAATGGAGTGCTTTTAGACGGTACTTTTGCAACCAGACGGTTAACTTTGAAAAGTCCAAATTTGCGCAGCTTAGGTGGATTGGCCATGATAAGTTGGCCATAGTATTCTGGGATGTGCAGGCTACCTGGATTAGCCATGGTAAATGTAGAGATTCGGGGATAGAAAGGGTTTTGGTCGGATGCTTTTCGGGGGGTTGCTTTGGACTCGATGGGCCGAAAGGCTGTAGGGATTCCATGATGCTATGAAAGTTGGGAAATGGACGCTCCAGCACTCAGCGGAATATTTGTGCACTGATTTTAATTTTCTTTTATTCATGCGTGGAGAGTCGTTGGCTGTGCCAGCATTTCTTGCCCATCCCTAGTTGCTCTTGAGAAGGTGGTGGTGAGCTGCCTTCTTGAACCGCTGCAGTCCATGTGACGTAGGTTAATCCACCATGCCGTTAGAGAGGAAATTAAAGTTTTATGTATGAACCTAACGACAAAAACACCAATGAAAGTTGCACTAAAATGGGTATTTATTTCATATATAGGTGTCACTGTTTTGTCCATTCCTGGCAACACTTGATGCTAAACTTGCTTTTTGTCCCCTCTGCTGTTTGTTGCACCAGACCTTGAGAATATCGAAAGGCAAGCCTTCATCTCGAGTTGGCATATATTTGCAGGTTTCGTTTTCGCAAAACAAAAGGAAATTTGTTCGTCAATTAATGTGCTACGATGTCTCCGCACCCGTCGTTCAAAGAGTTCAGGCACCAAATGGACGCCATGAACAGACCAGTAAGTAAAGGAAGTCGGGCAACATAGAATCCATATAGAAATAACACTATACAAAGACTGCGCATTTCACTCGTTTTATTAAACAACCCTTCTTTAATAAGTTATTTAACTGAAGTGAAATAAAAGATCGATGAAAATGGGAGCGATAGAAAACATTTCGATAAAAGCGGGAGATAGAAAACGTTGCATTTAAATAAAACGCCTTTCAGGATTGCAAAGCAAGCAAATCAGCACAATTTGATTTTATGTCCTGCACGGAATACTTTGAAAGGGAAACAAAATTGTCAGTGCAAACATTCGCTTTCAATTTAATTTGTGCAGTTAACTAAGTTCTTTGTACAACTTTTGAGGATATGGTGACAGGGCAGACAGTACGATTGGGCATTCGAGTGCGGGGCAGTTGAGAGATGCAAGGCAACAAATGAGAACCACTTATTTAGTCAACAAACATTCCCCCTCCCCCCACTCCCTCCACCCCCTTCACGTCACCCTCAATTGCCACATGTTCAAGCAAGTTTGCGGGTTCTGTGCTTCAGCGATTCCTCGAGGCTGGTAGTATCTCCACCAGGTACCGGGGACATGGAGACAGACTAGGGCTGTGATCTGAGATCTGTGCCACGACAGAGAGCTGTAACAATATAAGTCTGTTGGACATGCCGGCTGGGTTGTCAGTTTTAATTTGTGCATGACCTAGTGGCCGAAAAATGGGATAGAAGTGGCAGAAAGTGGGACTGAAGGCTAGTATTATTGCTTTGACAGCTTCACTCATCTAGAAGTAACGCAAAATGCAATTTATATTTATACTCCCTGACCTTCTGCTCCAAAAGGAAAGTATCTAATGAAGGGGCATGAAGGCAGGGTAGAAGCAGACTTAAGTTCAGTTGGAATTTGTCTACATTGTTATTCTTCAACTGTTTAATTACAGACGAAATGTAAATCAAACACCGAAGAAGACAACGGAGTCTGGAGTCTTGTCTTTGTTACTTTTTTGGGAGGGGGTGGGTGTGAGGTGGAGGGAATGGGCTTGGGTAGAACAGGAAGGAATAGGGAGTCCCAGGGACGTTTTGTAGGATGTCTGCGGAAACTCTATTAAATGGGAAAAAAAAATCAAGAAACACTCCCGACGTTTGTTTTTTTTCCCTCCTCTCGAGACCCAGTCACTGAACTGTGTTGACTTTTCACCGTGCACCATTGGCCAAATATTAGATATTCTGGAAGAACGCCAAGGACAGGCCTGGGTTCACACCAAAGTAAACACCATCATGTCTTCCAGCTTCGTACACACTGAATGCGATTTGCAAGATATGTGTTTGCTGCCATCATATCTCTCTCTCTCTCTCTCCTTATTTTTTCTTCCTTTTAATCCACAGACCCGTGCTTCTGCTGGTCCTATAATCCTGTGGCATGTGCTGATGACATCACATGATGTCCATTGCCGGCAACATCTAGTTCCCTGCAACTGTCATTTAATGTTGCAAGCAAATGAAAAATGACTGTGAGACTCACTGGCTCCCAGAAGTGACCTTGAGTATTATTAGAATGACCTCCCATCGGTTTGACCAGAAGACCTTTGATATCTGCATGAAGAAAATATACGAGTGAGCTGCCTGGTCTACCGATAGAAAGGACAATGATCAGCGAGAATAGCACAAAGCTGAAGCTAAGTTGCAGCTCATGGCCTGCCAACATTGAAAAGTGATCGCTATACATAACGTGAATCACTGTATCCATTGCTCTGAGAATTGTGTTTTTTTTTAATGCAAATCTTTATGTATATATATAAAAGCATTAATTTAAAAGGCCCCATGCTTGCATAGGATACACACACACACATAGAGAAATATTTCTCGGGCCCCTGTCAGTTGGAAATGAATCTGACAGTCAATAGAGTTCCACTCCTCCCAACGCGCATTCTATTACAGACTTTCTCAAGCCATAGTCAGGAAGAAAACTGTAAGGGAAGTCACATGTTTTGAATGGTTGGTTCATTGAGTAGACCAAAGCTTTTCTTGATCAAAAATCATAAGTCGAATTCTTTGATGTAATCAGCTTTTCACGTAGTCTCTTCCTTCCCGAAGCAAACTCTAAATACTACTCTGCTCTAATCAGCTCACACACTGTAAGCACTTTCCACGACTAATACGATATCCTGAAAACAAATTACTGAAGACTGATTACGGGAGGGAAGGTTAGCTCTACTGCTGTACTTTCACCCACTGCGTCGTTCATCTCTCTCCGTCAGTCTCTTCCTCCCTTCTCCGCATTTCATGCGATTTTTAAAAAGTGTCCCCTCCCTCTTTTCCAGATTCCAACCCCTTTCTTCCTCTTTAAATAGTTTTTCCTCGTGTTTCTTGACTTTTCCTTGGTTTCTTTGCCTTATGCACCATTGCGCCAACCTGAAGCACACATTACTTTATGTTTGCATTTTGAGGGTATTAATGAACTGTCTCTCGTCGATTGTTCTCCCTCCGCTGTGCATCCTGATAGTAACAATAGATAGTGGATGTGATCTCATGTGCAGTTGGGGTTTGTTCACAAGCGCAGACATCCCTACCCCAAAAATGGCACCAGCAAAGTTCTCAACTGCAAGGCCAATCCCGCCATTGTTCAAATAAAAGCAGCCATTTCGTTGATTCAGCCAGGGGCTAACAATTCACCATATCTGGTATTATTACAAAATCAGAGGGCCCACCTTGTCAGTGCAACACAACACATAGGGTCCACACCTACTTACAATTATAGCTACATATATGAAGCTGCGTACCACATGCAAACATTTGCAGCAGTGAAGGGTCTCTCTCTTCACCCCCTCCCCACCTCCCACCATCACCTCGGCATCCTACGTCATCCCACCCCCACCCTCCCCAATCCGTCTGTCAATATTAGGCAAGCTGTTCACTTTCAATCCATCTTGAAATTAATACGGATATTGTCATGTGCAGATTGTGACCGTGGGATACTTTGAGTTGAGCTAGTGCCTTTTCCCCTACGTGCGTTGGTCAACATGATAAAATGTTTCCTTTCGAAATGGAACGGTACTGCATCGAGATTGTAGCGTGCTGAATTACTTATGTTACAAAGTTGGAAAGAGAGATCTTTCAAAGGCAGCAGATTCAATCCAATCAAATAATATTGTGATCTTCGAACAGTCCTTCTGTGACAATATAGAACCCTATTTAAATAAACACATGGGAAGCAGTAGATCTGCCTTTCTTTCGTATCATAGCTGCTTTTTCATTGTGTATATTGTTCATTGTTCACATTCATTGTGTATATGGTTCATACTGAGCATATAAGAAAAATATAGGATGGTAAAATGCACACCCTTTAACATCACCGAAAAAGCAAGGATTGTGCAGACTGGCCATTATAGTTTGGAAATTACATTATTCGAAAGTCACCAAATACTTAAAAGGGTTAAGCAAGAAGAGCAAGGACATGTATTTCACAATCATTGGGATCAAAGCAATGCTACTTCTCTGCTTCGGTTGTTAGGAAAACTTTCAACAAAGAGGCTTGTTAACACCTTAAGGTTCACCTTGTCCCCTACCGTTAATCTGTCACAAATCGGTAGAATGGGATCCATAGAAAGTGGCTTTAAAACTATATTTTTGTGTGTCTTAGCGATCATTCATCACGTGCCATATATTTACAAACGGAGGTAAAAGTAATTTCTCACGTTAAACCAGCAAACAATATGTACACGAGGACAACTCTCCCATAATGTAGAGTTGCAACAACTTTCTTGCTTTATTTTTACGAGTATTCCCTGCGGGTGATTACAAAAAAAAAGCACCCGCAGATATAAATTGAACTAAAATGTGCTTGACCGAAGGGTGGACATCGCAGGAATGCTTGGTTGAGCACAGTCATCCCTTTCTGCATTATAATGTGTGATCTGGGAAACCTATCAATTTATTTCTGTGCACTTTGAACAGAGCGAAGGCTTTGCTCAGTCAAGGCGAAGGTGACAAACCTTTTGGGGTAACAGAATGTATGATTCGCTTCTTTTCCATTAGACTATGGGTCAGAAAGACTGTCGATAATGGATGCTCCCAGTGAGCGATTAAAACAGGTTCCAAGAGGGCATTGAATGACTATTTAAATAGAAACAATGTACAAGGTTTGGGGGAAGCCAGTTTAACACTAAATCAAAATGCTCAGAGGGCTGGCACAGACACGATGGACAGAATAACCTCCGTGTACCGTTACAATCCCGCGACTCTGCGAATAAAAAAAAACAAAATTAGTTAAATCTAGAGGTCAGTACAGCTGTCACCATGTGTTTAACGAACAAAAGGACAAGACACATTACTGGAGGACAGCACAACTTTTGTATCAATGAATTCACTTTCTGTGGATTTTTCGTTCACTGATCCAGAACAGCTAATCCCCCTCTGCCGAGAACATTCTCTCTCCTAAGTTTTCTCTCACCCCCCACCCCAACCCCCATCAATAAAATGAAACCTGCTTTCAGCAACTAATTGGGTCGGTTATTGTCTGTGTTGAATGTTTTTCGTCAGGACCTGAGTAAAGACGGGATTTCTGGAACTCTATTGCATGCTTCCCAAACAGTGTTAGACAATATCTGTTAACATTACACAGGAATCAAAGCTCAGAAAATATATTCATTCATTTTTATTCAGATTTGATGACAGTGAAAATGCCAGATTGGAATAGCAGACGTGGTTATAAGTCGTGACTGCTTTTGCGGACCCTATACTTGCACTGAAGACTGATTCCAATGCTTATTGCTTTATTTCAATCCTATTCGCTTGTATTCAATTGAGCATTCAATGCAAGCATAAAATACAACATCAACCGACAGATTGTGTGTGTTTTTCATTTAATAAATACAACCAGCGCCTTCGACACTACCTGTGTGGGAATGCTGTCAAGCATGAACAAAAATGACAATTTTTCCGAATAAGTGGATCTATGCTAACTTTCAGAATAGAATTGCTTTATTTTGGTTACCTACTGGGAGACAATAACCTTCGTCTTTTAAAATGCGGAGAGACGAGCAGTGAGCCCCCATCCAAGGTTCTAACTGTAAAATTATATACTCCAGATTACAGTCTCACCGACTCTCACACTCGACTGCCCGTACTCAGTGTATATTTTAAATTCAAACAAATTGAAACATTTTCCTTAATTTGGGGTTTATCAGACATGGTTTATTACAGAATCGAAGGAGTTTTTTTTTGTCTAATTCACGGGTTAGCAGACGTCCCCTTTCACCAAAAACTAGAAGTAGTTCAAGGTGATTGATGATAATGCTTGCTCTGGCTGAGATTTATTGCAGTGACTTGTTAGCATGGAGACGTAAGGTAACATCAGTGGGAAGCCTGGGAGGAAGTTCTAGAGGACAGAAGTTGAATTAAAGACCCGTGCCTTTTACCTAATTCTGTATGGAGTTTACACCCACTGAAAGGTCATTTTACAATGCACCCTAATACAGCTCTAAAACCTTAAGCTCCTGCTAGTTCTTGTAATAACTGGTAATGAAAATGTCATATGTTATCAATAGATATTTGACACAAATATTTATTGAGAGCATATGCAGACCGTAATCCTTATCGTTATCCATATTCTATACTCAGTATGGTCTTAAAGTCAGACTTATGATCGAAAGTTGTATCTTTATTTCAACAGAGAATCAAAAGCAATCATTATTATGGCATCTCTTTCCAAGTATACCGCATTTTTCTTTACTGATCTGAAGGAAGGTCCCTGGATTCGAAACATTAACTTCGCTTTTTTTTTTCCCAGAGATACTGTCAGACCTGCTGAGTTTCTCCAGCAATTTGCTTTTATTTCGCATTTTTAATACTGTTCTGATGTACGATTTACACTTTGTATTTAATCCGTGAAAAATGCACCCGGAAACGTCAACAGTTTTGTTGGAAGTTACATAAGCCACCCTGAACAGGAATTCCTGAGGCAAACTCAATTATTACCGTGCAAATAATCAATGAGAATGCCCATCTCTTGGCCCTAATAATAGATCAAAGAAATATAAATTTATTTTAAATTGCACATTAGGATGTCGCGGCTGTAAAATCTCTGACAGAGCCCAAACATGGGTAAGGTGCAAATGACCAACTGCACTGCATCTCCATCAAATCTTTGCATCCTCTTTAGCAAACTTGACAAAATAGAAGAAATATGACATGTGAATTATTAAACAGAGCCCATTTGACTTTTAACCCCGCTGTTTTCAGGAAGCTAAATTTCCGGTATATTTATCTTGATACATATTGCAAGGGCTGTGGGCCATTGAGTTGAAGAAAAATCAGCGGCAAAACGAAGAGCCGGGCTCGAGCGAAGGTCTGCATGAGAAACGGGTCATTTGTCAGAGAAAAAAAAGTCAATAAATTAGATAGAATGATGGATAAAAAGGCTCCAAATGGATGCGAAGGACAGCAGACAGCGGGGTCTGGCTTAGTGAAACCCACCCAGGAGCAACTAACCTTTTCGATATGGACTGGCTCAATTAGCAGCGCGAGAGCATTTGGAGAGTTACCTACTTTCTAACAGGTGTTACCTTGTAATAAGGATTCTAGTTTGACTATCATATAAGATAATTCAGGAACTTCTATCACGAATGAAATATTCTGCCATAATACCAATTTACACGTTCCTTCTGTTTTCTAACGATTTAATGTCCAATTTTGGGTTGGATATGATGAATCGCACATTATTCCTCACGAAATAATGGCATCCAACCGAAATGTTTAAAGGTCCAGAGTTGACATGAATTAATTGGCGCATATCATATTGTCCCCGTCTAAATAATGTTCAAAATTTACTTCATCACAAACGATGTTTTTTTTGATCTCACAGAAGTTAATTTCTGATTAAGTTGTTCTGCTGTGTAATCTGTCTCAGTCGTTACATTGTGTATTACCACTACGTAGTCTGATAGAAGTTGTGAGTTTATGTATGCATTTGCACTGTGGTACAGGTATATAAACAATTCTTTCCTTTAATGTGCACCATCAAAATGAGCAATCTTTCACTTTATACAGGTATGTACGAGTCCAAGCTGTATGGAAATCATATTTACGAGTATGACAATATTTCTGTTCAAATTTTCAAGTAAATTGACTTATCAGCTTGCTGTTTGATTTCAGACTGTTTGACTGCAAACCAGATCAGGTACTTGTTGGCCAGGTGTGTCAGTCATCAGAATGCTTGGATTTGTTTAATTTTTTTAATAGTCCGGAAGACGTGGGCAAAATAGATATTTCTACAATATTACTGACAATCATTAAGAAACAGTTTCACTATTTGTGAGGCGAAAGTTAGCGAATGGACACTCAACGGAAAGGAAAATCCTGGGTAATTGAATAAACCAAAATCTGGGTGATAGAGCAGTCAAAAGTGGCCGCGATGACAGGAGAGCTATGAGGCAAGTGATGGATACTATTGTCCTAATTTGACCCTCCATTAACACCAGTTCTCAGCAGCTGTATTATGTCAGAAATTCCCATCGACATACAGAGGTTGTCACTGATTTTCTCAGCTCTCCCAGTCTTCGCTGCAGCGCTCAATCCTATCTCAAATAAATGGGTGGAGAATATGACCCAAAACTGCTCTCCAATCTGAGCAGCCCTATTACCGCCTCCAAAATGCATTGTTGTGCAGGTGCCAGTAATTTGGTCCTTATCTCTAAAATGTTTATGCAGCTCCGTCCATTAATACTGGAAATGTTATTAATATTAATTAACAAATAAAACGAACCATTTTGGGCCCAGTGAATAGCTCATCTTCTAATTGGACTTAAAGGAAGAAAAAAGTTGACCTACTAGTGACAGACACAGGTTTGAGGGTGACATTTCATTGTGTAGCACCATGTGAAAGAAATAAAAAGAGACCCGTCAATTTAATGCAAGGACCAAAAGTGCATATTGTTGCTAAGAGACGGGGATGCCGCTGAACTTCCATCAGAAGCTCTGCTCCGACCTTATGCAAATAGAACTGAAAATTCTTTGTGGATGGCAGCGATTTCCACCCACCATGTCAGGAATACCTGGCAGAGGCTTTTATTCAAATGTTCAGTAAAAACACACAAGATGTGACAAAGCATGACACATTCAGCTCTGGAGAGAGAGAGAGAGAGGGAGAGTCAGAAAGGAAAGAGAGAGAGAGAGAGACAGAGAGAGCCTCACCATCCAAAATGCCATCAATCCAACATCCACAGCTGTCATTTTCTCCCCCTTCAGCCGCATAGAAGATTGGTCCAAAATAGTAAAGTGTCTCTCCTTACATCCTAAAAGGTCTATTAAGGCACATTAATTTAAGTAACTAAGCAAACTACTGCAATGCACATAAACGCAACGGGAACGGAATCTGAGAAACGGTCAGATCATATCATTTTAATGTCCTTCCGAAATTATCTACACTGAAAAACAAGCAGAGTAACCCCATTAACATAAATGAAGTAGAAATGTACAATTTAAGAAACCTTTCCGAGATTGGTTATCACTACATTTGAAATTGCAAGCAAATGAAGTTCAAAAATATCATTCTTGAGGAACCTGCCTCACGATAGTGTGGGATTGAATGAACAATATTGATAAACAAACGGATTTTGTTTGAATATTAATTCATGTAACATATAATATTGAGCATTTAATTCTATCAAAAAACAATACTATTACAAGTGGTGTACATTAACCAGTGTTGCTGCCTATGTAGATCAGTTGTGTGGTTATTATCTTCCTATAAAGGTAAATTGCACAGTTTTATCCTGTATAAAAGCAAGATCTGTATTCACTTGGAAATGATACTCATAGACGAATGGAGAAAATTAAACTTTATGAAATCCAGAATGCCAGTTAGATGCACGTCGAATAGTTTGTCCCGAATATTTTCTAACGAACACGTACTTAAACATAATTTTTAATGTATTTTAGAATTATCGGGAAGCGCTCACATTTGAGCAAATGCACTTATTTTGTTTTATATCAATTGTAAGTGAAAATTTAATTATTTAATTTTAAAAGAAATAAGTCTCAAAAGCGACATATGATGATCTGTATTGGGGTTTGTAATGGGTGATCGATGGCGTTTTAGCAGTTATTCAAATTTCAATGGAATCTAGTTAGTCAACAACAACAATAAAGGCTCTGAAACCACTTGAAGATTTTCTTAAAGTCTCGTTCCATGAACATGCTCGTTAAGATTTTTTAAAATAAACAATCTACTGAATTGACTATGTCTAAACAGCACTTTTCAAATTACGCTCGCGTTCCCTTTCCCAGTACACGCGTTTTCTAAGAAAATACCCCCACTCGAAAAATGTGTCTAACAAGGTGAGCAAGTTCGAATAGACTGGAATCTCAGAGGTCAGGTGCTCTGCTGCTAAACTGGATGAAAGCAGTTAATAATCAAAGTTACTTCGCACACTTCATCAAATTAAGACAGTGAAGAAAAATAGATTTAGCCCAATAATTCGAATAAACTTAAAAAGAAGCCAATGAAATTGTGTAAAGAATCAAAAGGATGAATTTTCCTGCAGCAAACAAACTGCAGACAACGCTTTTTGTCGTAGCAACATTAACCATTCTACCATCTTTTGATGAAAGAAAATGCAACAAATTTTAAACTTAGTTTACACCAGTCGACTTTCAGAAGTACTCAAGTTTGAGTCTGTAGACTATCTATTCTTTAAAAAAATAGAGATTGCGAGCTGTGTAGTAATCTACTTCATTTTTTCCAGCACTTTCCAGCTCACTTTCCCCTCCTTCACATGAATCTTAAATAATACATTGGCACCCCTTTGAAAAAAAAACACGTTGTGGTTTCGTGTGTTTATAGTTTAACACAAACGAAGTTCGCCTCACGTGGAAATGCAGTAAATTCCGCAAGAAAACTCACTCACTCCGCGGTGGATGTAAAAGTTGAAACAAGGAACGGAGTTGGATAAATGGCAAGTGAAAATTGTACCCTCGAAGTTATCTTGAGGTTAAAAAAGGGCCATTATGTTTTCAATATTTGAGGCTAAAATCAGAATTGTCCCACTTTATTTTACAATACTATCTAAAACAAGCAGTAAATTACCTTGAAATTGCTACTGAAATCGGGGTGAAATTTCCAAATAGCAAGCCAATTTTCATAATGTGTGCAATAAGCTATATATTTCAACAACCTCGGCGTATATGCAGGAGACGTTTTAATGGGGAATTCAGTAGATGCTGCGAATATTAATAGGATTTGTGGTTACCCCGTTTCCGGCAGCAGCTCATGGGGCAACTGGCAGTAATACAAGTGAACGTGTGGAGGGCCCGGACTAAAATGGTCAGTGCTCTTGTCTTACCCACCTTTTCAAACCAACCCAGGTGTTTCAGTACGGGTTTAGTTCAGGAAATCAAGTTCAACGATTAGCCATGACCAATGTCCTCCTTCCAACCCAAACAAGACTCGCCCAAGGCTCCAGCATTAGAAATGTTCAACAGCGATCACCGGGAGCCCTTCATGATCTCCTTTGCAGGTCGATGTCATTAGGAGCCTCTTAAACGCGAACCCTGAAGCCAAATTTTGTTTGCTCGCCACCATCACTTGCCAACCGCCCCCACCTCACCCCCCTCACCTTGTGGTCGTATTTAGGTAACCTGCGGGCGACTGTAGCCAAGGGCAGTGACCATTGAAGTCAGATACATTACAACCACCCCAGGATTGCACATCGATTGTCTACTTCATGGAGACAGTCCCCCTAATTTAACCCAGCAAGGGTTTTTGGAAATTGATACCAGGTCAGGCTGTCAGAAGCTTCCTATGGTGAAAGTTGTTGCTGACGGTATGGGACCGAGCAATGAAAGAACAACCGTTAGATACATCTTTCTTAACCGATTACCTGCCAATTTAAGGTCAGTGTTAACAAGTCCAAATCAAGCAGGAACATTGTAGAATTTCGTGCCAAGTAGCAGTGGAGCAACACAGGATGTATTTGTTGTATACCAGAGCCATGCTGGTAAAAATGGTGCAATCTACTTCATTCAGAGCCTGATACCATCAATTTCAGTTTCAGAATGGAGAAATGTATCAATTTACTCCGGCCCTGATGCTTTTCTTTCCAAGCTGACTTAATATTAAATATACAGATAAAGTCTTTTTTTAACAATGGTCGGGAGAAAAAAAAATGAAGATCTCACAAATGTTCGTTAAGCCTGACGAATAGATTCTCTTCTACATTGATGGCAATAGGGCAGAAGGAACCAAATGGAAATCCTTCTCAACAGTATGCACTCGAATTGCTTTTTGCAGTTAGTTTGCATAATGCATTGAGGCTGCCATAATTATATTTCACAGGGCGCCACTTCTTCTCGAGATAAATGTGGGCTAACAAAATACAGCATTTCCGCATAATCACGAGTTTAAAGACGGATACAGATATGATTGTCTGTTTCATAGACTCGCTGATTGAACTATTATTAACTACATTTCAAATGTAAATGTACACAATAGCCCATCAACAACTAGCGTCCCATACGAAGGCTCGAGGGAATAATGCAGGACTGTTGATTGGGTTTTACCTATACCTGATACACGCGATCGCCAGCCCTGATTCCGTCATAGCAGAGAGCTCACAGAGCGAAACATTCACAGGTTGCCTCACCAGCGCTCAGTCCAAAACGAGCCATCTACAGAATAATGAAGTAGCCAGTTCTATCTAGTGCTCCCATTAAGGCTGGGAGAGTTCTGATGAAAAGGTTGCACTGGTGGGATAAAGCTATTATTCCACACCTTTTGTACAGTTCTAGATCTCTTCCTTTATTTTTGCATAATGACATACTTTTTTTTTCAACGTCAAACATATAAAAATGCTAATGCATTTGGGGTACCGGATAGAGAATAAACGTGTGCCCAGAGAAGTAATGTGCACTGAACCATGCCAAAACACTCTTACCCTTCTGTAATTAATATATTCATCACAAGAATAGAATTTTAATGTATAGCTATTGATTTCGGAGTAGAATATTCCATTCATATATTTAACTGTAATAGTAAAACGCATAGACTATGAATTAAATATTAATAAAGAAACAAGACAATCTTCTAAGGTTAAAACAATATAACCAGTGTCATTGCTGATTTACATGTGGAATGGGAGCATAAATCAAACTGATGTCATGACTTCATTGAATAAAGACAGGACTAAGCACCACATACGATTTTATGGTTTTATATTAATGACAGGACTTAAGTACAGTTAAATCATATTCCATGAAGATTTCCGGTTAATACAAACTATAACTATTGTGGATGTGATTACTTCTAAAACTCTGCCCTGGTAATAATTATAGTGCCCTGAAGTCTGTTAGGTTTTTTTTAATAGCGAAAATCAGAATGGATGGCTACACGGTGGACTGTGTTATAAACAATCGGTACACTATGTAACGCTCTCTCTGTCATTGCGATATAAATTCTTGTCCACTCGAAGCAACTCAGTCCTGCATCCACGTGCAACTGATTCCATAGCCAACCTTGGCTAAGAAAAGTCAAGGGGCGTAACATCAGAAGATAATAAATTTACTCACATGTCACTTCCTCCTAAACAGGTTAGATTATCAGGGCTCTCTATATGCATACGGGTCTGGTTCAGGCGACTGATTACTGAGCCGATACATTTTCTGAGACTTAATTTCATTGCCACAGGACTGATGAACTACAGTTTGTTAACAGCACAACGTAACCTCAATTGTGTCTATTGATGTTCAGTTGCATTGCACCACTTGATCAACGTGGCAATATTCTGACCAGTTAGCCAGTAACTAGGGACGCGCAGGAAACTTCTTGATGCACTCATTGTCTATACGCTGTAGAGAGGTAATCATCAAGAAGTTTTGCATTTTATAGATTTTTTTCTTTTTCTCGCCAAGTTATCCGATAGGTCAGTTGTTATCAGAAGCCAAATCACCTTTTGCATTCTCGGTACTCAATGTGACACGTCGTTTGACTGATAACGCTGTGTACTGCCATCTAGGTACAGTAATTTACACACAGATCTGGTGTTTGTTTTTCGATATTTTTTCATGACAAAAATGTTTGAAAGGCTCCAGGAGATCCAGAAGTTCACCGGGAAAACATATTTATCAGCCTAAGTACACACCGCTCAGAGAAGGCGCCATGGCATATATAATATTGACGTATGAGTCAGTGTGGACAGGGTGCAAAGTCGTACCAAGGTGAACAAAGGGGCAGGTATAGACCTGACACAGTCAAATAGGTCAACAAGTGTTGATAGACACAATTATAGCATTAGCTATTAGTAATTTTGATAATAATTAGGAGATAAAAGTGAAATGACAACAAGTCTAATCAGACTTTACCCACCTGAAGATAGGTATGAAGTATTTTAATGAGGTTCTGGTTCTGTTTTTTGGCTGCCTTTGTATTTGCATTTTCACATTATGAATCAAAGAACTACATTTGGTAGATACGACAAGTTGCTAAAAGCAAAAAAGGTCAGTGGGGATATGTGAGGGCAAGGGCATGGGTATGGTTTTCGCTAAGTTAAAGCAGCATAGAAACATGATTAAAATCAAAGTCTAACAATATAACAATTCAATTGACTTTTGAGTTCAATTGCGTCTTATATGTGATTCATACATAGACATATACAACTACAAATCACTCATGAATAGGTCAATTGAACCAAAAATATGGTCAGCCTTTTATGTTTTATATGGAATTACAACTGATGACACATGTGAACAGTAGCACAGTAATATTGGCAACTATTGGAAAGACAGATTTCATTAACAGAATTTTATTTATGATAATAGGAGCTGAAAAAAGCAGGAGGAATGTATTTGCTACATAATGCTTAAAGGAAATTTGACTGTAAGCCAGTAAAGTGGTTTCTCTCTCTCATTATTTGTTCACTTATGCCTGCCTGTAACAGTTACAATGGTTCCACAAGAATCAGCGATGAAGATTGTGTCTTTCTAATAGGGACTGATGGGCATTATCCAAATTTAGTTTTAAAAGTCGTGCCCTCCTACTACCTGGAGAAAAAGAGCTGCTATTGCAGATTAGAGTCAGCACATAAAATGCTGAATTTTTAATTGACTGTGCCAACAGAACATCAATGGAACCTCCTTCAAAAGGAACATTCATTAAGATTTTGTAAGATTGATCACCAGAAGAATGTACCAGAAAGGTAAAGTTGCCATAATCCCACTGGACTACAGGCTGGTCTTTCGTCAGACAGTGACAATTAATGGTGGTTTAAGTTGAGGGTCACAACACCTCAGACAAGAAGAGAGGTTGAGAAGAAGGGCCTTGCATGGTAACCTCAGCAAATACAGGAATTGGACCCATACTGTTGATATCACTTTGCTTTGCAAACCAGTCACCCAGCCAACTTGAGTTTCTCATAAAGCTAGATTTGGCATAAGCAAGAACACCAGATGAGCGTCAGGAAATATAGCAAAAATAAAGAGACAGAGACAAAAAAATACTGAGACAGAATCTGCAATAAATGTCACAAACCTTTGCATTTGAATGCAGAAGACCTCTTTCATAGTCATGTTCAAAATATTGCATATTTTCCAAACATCATTTCTAAGAGCAAATAATACTATTCAACTGGACGGTGCTGATCTTGCCTAGTTCCATTCTTACCTATCTAATTATGGAGAGATAATCACAACAAATCATTTCTTTCTCCAGCGTCATGTTCCCCAAACATCTATTCTTAGTCCTCTGCTATTTCTCATCTGTGCCATCATCTGATATATAACTGCCAATACCTACCTCTACCTCAACACTATCTTTCTTTTACTGTGATAAAGTGTCAGATTGCATATCTAATGACCTGAGTGAAGAAGCAGAAATTGCCCCCAACCAAGTATTGGGAAGACTGAAGTCATTATTTTAATGTCCCACTCTGCACTCCATTCTGTGGCTACAAAATGCCTCTGTCTCCCTTTCAACTGTCTGAACCTAAACAAAACATTTTGTACTTTAGTGTCATTTGATGCCAAATGAGTTTCTAGTCAATATTCAGGTATCACCGTAATTGCTTATTTTCAGGTATTTAATTTCACCAAGATTTGTCCATGTTTCACATAATCTCTCCCACATTCAAGCTACCTTTTTTATTTATTCATGAGATGTAAACATCACAGCATTTATTGCCCATCCCTAGTTGCCCTTGAGAAGACAGTAGTGAGCTGCCTTCTTGGACCATTACAGTTCATTTGTTATAGGTGGACTCACAATGCCATTAAGGAGGGACTTCCAGTATCCACAATACTGCAGGAACAGTGATATATTTCTAAGTTAGGATAGTTCCAAGTTTGTCTTAGAAGGGATACTGTAGCTGCTGGTGTTCCCATGTATCTGGTGTCCTTGTTCTTCTCGATGATAGTGACCACTGATTGGAAGGTCTCAGGAGCTTTGGAGAATTTCTGCAGCGCATCTTGTAGATGGCACCCACTGCCTATCATATTTGAAAATTTGACCTAATTCCTTCTTATTTTGTATCATATTTTGTTTCATCTTTTTCCCGTGTAGTGCCTTGGGATATTTTATGGCTTTAAACGTACTGTATAAATATAAGTTGTTGTTGCATCATCTTTTAACATTTTCTTGGAAGTAAATAACTATTTGCCAACAAAGCAAAATATTAGCAACTGAGTATATAACTGTTAATCCTGAATCATCCTGATAGCTTATTTAATCTACCAATCATGGATAAAACTGAATATCTAAACGAGAAATGTGCATTTCTCACAAACCTCATTTCAATAAATTAATTCCCCTGACATATGAAATCTGTAAGAACATAAGAAATAGGAAAATGAAAATGCCATACGATGTCTCAATCCAGCTTGGTCCATTCAGCAAGCTCATGAATTGACTGACTGTGGTCCACTCTCCTGCCTGATTCCCTTAAATTTTGATTCCCCCTTAGCTCAAAAATCTGTCTATCGCAGGTTTCAAGTTATTCAATGTCTAAGCATCCACAGGACTCTGAGGTAGAAAACTAAAAAAATTTAAGACCTTCTGAGAGAACAACTTCCTTCTCATCTTTATGTTAAATTAATCTAAACTTCTGCCTTCTTACTTCTAGATTCCTCCACTTGAGGAACATCCTTTCAGTATCTGTCAAGACCCCCATTTAACTAGTTCAATCAGCACATGTCATATGTTGTACTGCTCCAATATCAAACCATTACAAGGTTCTTGTGGTGCAGTGATAGTATCCCTACATCTGAGCCAGGAGGCCTAGGTCGATGTCCCATGTCTAGAGGTGTATAATAGCATTTCTGAATGGGTTAATCAGGAAGATGTTTATGTATCTTCTCCTTCCCTGGTGACCAGGCATTTGGGCCGAGTCTGTGTCTCCCTCTAGCTCTCTTCAAACACTTAGGCATAGATAAAGACACTGTTTTAATCATCAAAGTTAGCCTAATGCGGTTTTGATGTTTTACCATAATTACGTTCAAAGAAGATTCAATATCTTCTCTGGCTTTTGGCGCTGTCAGTTCTCAAATGTTTTCAGTAATGGAGAGCAGGAAGTGTGACAGAGGAGGAGCAGGTCTTACATAGAGCAAGAACAGCTAATCTTGCTGTCAAATACAAAAAAAAACTGCATGAGTAATGCATCCCCAACTCCACGACATTGTACTGTTGATTAGACTAAGATATGAGGTAGATCTTAATGTATTCTTGGAATTTTGTCTGAAGATTAAGTAAGTATTTGATCATGACCCTCTGGCTCGTTTAGCCCATTTCACACAGTAGTGATATCACAAGATGTACACTCTCCTGGCAAAGAAAAACTAACTTAACAACAACACTGGTCAATATGGGGCAAAACATTTGAGGCATTCCTCACCTACTCATCTCGGTGTTCAAACCATTCCAAGTGATCTCTCTGCCCAGAATGCGTATGTTTTTTAAGAGTTGATATCTATATAAACCAGGAACATGTTCAGAAGTTGCTTGAAGGAATTAGCTCCTGTAACATGAGACATACTGTTCAGATGAAGATCCATTGTCCACATTAAACATAGATTTTTCCCTATACAACTAGAACTCTGGTTCTCCATAACATACTTAGGGGAAACAACTTGTCCACTGGAACTCAATCTATTCTCTGCATCACCTTCGAAATCTCAATCAGCTTACCATTGCATCTCACCAACTCTTTTAGCCTTGGCATTTCCGATATTTAATTGGTGTAAATTACAGTAAGCCCACTTTCAAATCCAAATTGTACATAGTGCATGAAACACCCACCCTAACTAGCTTAATCCAAAACTGACCCACATGCTTTGCTATTACTTGACTGTGCTGCCAGTGTACGTTACCCTTCAATAGGCATCTTACCTATTTTCTTAAATTTTATATCTTACTTTTAATTCTGTTTCTTTTCAGTGTTTTCTAGTCATAAAATAATAGAGCAACTGAAAATAATTAGAAATACTTTTAAATTGTACAAGAGGTTTCCATTTTCCTTGTTACTAGTTCTACGCCTGGTTTTTATTTTACTGTTGATTTCTGAATCACAACTATCGCCTTTGTTGTTAAATAATATTCCCTTTCTCAGCCCTTTCTTCTGGGGGACACTGCTTTACCCTGTCACTAAAATTAGGGAAATAAAAAGGATTCCGGGATCTATTTAGCCAGTTGAGGATCATTTTTACTTTTCCTTGTGATATTCAGAGCTTGACATATTATGGTAGTAGAGCAAAGTAGGCCAAAACAGATGAGACAAAGCTTACCAAGCATTATAACTAATTTTCCAAGGACAACATTTACTGGACAGTTCAGTATAGGGATATGATAATATGGCC